TACAATAAACAAAGTGAGATTGTAAACCTAATTACAAAAATTAGCTTGATTACCCTAATTTCAGAAATTGTAAACCTAATTTCAAAAATTGTAAACACTAATTTTCAAAACCCAAATTTCAACAATTATACTAACCATAACTAGGAGGGGGAAGGTAATCAAGCTCTTTTCGCCGCAATTTCATCTCGCAGTTTGGGGCTTTAACCCCTAGAGCAACTTTCTCGATCAAACTGAGATTTTCTACATCAAACTGAGTTGTTTTCTCCATCGCCGATTTTGATTGCTGCTTCACTGGTTGAGACTGAGAGGTCTCTATCGCCGATTACGATTTCTCCTTCATAATTTCTGATTTCTCCTTCATAATTTCTGATTCTCCTTCATTTTCGACTTATCCTTAAAGCTTATCATTTTTGTCCCTCACCATCTTCACGCAATTTCGATTTTGTGGAATTTCGGAAGTTGAGATTAGAAGATTTTCTTGAGTAGAAGTTGAGAAATTATGGGTCGATTCTGAGAAATTGAGAGTTGAGAGTAGAAGATGTTTTAGGGATTTGAAAAATTGGGGTCGATTATGTCGATTAAGTTGCACATTTGGGAGGGTAAATATCATTGTTCTAAAAATCGGCCTAGGCGGCGCCTAGGCAGGCATAGGCGGGCTCGGCGGCAATTTTTTATTTTCTTCAAATACTAATTACATTATTTTGTTATCATGTTTTTATTTAAAATATATTAATATTATTATTTAGACTTAGGTGTGTGGATTTATTATAAGTTGAGATAGTTCTATTTTGTAGGTAGTTAAAATAAATAAAAAATAAGGAATTAAGTATTGATTTCTAGGCACCGACTAGGCCCCGCCTAGGCGCCGTAGGAGCTCGATGCCTAGCGACTTTTAGAACACAGGTAAATATGATTCATTTCGCTCCTTCTCGTATCCTACCACGTAAAACCACAATCATTCCACATCGGTTAAAAAATACCACGTGACGCCACGTCAAATTTTTATCTGAGATTGGGATAAAAAAGGATCAGAAATGATGAAATCGACAAATTATAGGACCGAAATTGAAAGTAATCAATATCGGGGTAGTTTTTTGGACTGTGATCAAGTTATAGGACCAATTTTAAATTTTTTCCTAATTATGGCTTTTAATTTCAACTATCCTTTGACTCCAGTTTTCTGTAGCTATGGCCGACTGTACTTATAGCGATCTTGATTTGCAATCCACCACTTCTTTGAAGCATATTTAATTATTGAAGATATAATGGATGAGTTGCGCTTGCGCCTCAATTATAAATTTTACGTTTGTCCTTCATTTATTTGCACCCGTGCGACCCATATAACAGTACTATTCCTTTGTGCCTTAATTTAATCTTCTACTCATGTTTCCAACTACTAACTAACTACATTCATTATTCTTCAGCTTCAATGTTTGTTGCTATCTGCTTTCTTTGCAGGTAAAATTTACTGACCCAAAACCCATTGCTTCATCTTTTCCTTTGAACCCATGTAGACTGTAGTGACTAATTATTTTCTCTAAAACAAATGTTGTTGGATAATATGCTGCGTGCATGCATCAGTTTGCTCGATATTTCGT